CAGTAGGACTATCCCAAGGAGTGTAAATTGTCCAGCTTCAATATTTTCGTTGGTTCTCTCACTTATTTTTATTAATTCTTTGGCCTGAACTACGGTAGAGTTATCCGATAAGATGCTAGGAATACGTTTTTCGAATGTTTTCAAGTTATGGCGTACCTCATAATTGAATCATGGTCGTTTGATACTATAAAACTGCTCACAAAAATACAAGGTAAGATCAAGCTTCATACAACCATGCTAGGATTAGGATGGTCTTATTTAGGAACTTGAGTAGTGTATTCTGCGACTTGAAATGGGATTTTGCCAAAAATTACCGAATAGACGGGTGCTGTTCGCAGAAGTGGCCGTTTTTTATTTCATTCTTCACCTTCTTCTATTTCCCACCACTTGGAACAGCCATATCGTTACTAGTGGAAGCGGTGACGGTTTTTTCCAAGTTTCCAGATAGTACATCAGAATCGTGACCACAGGCATCCAGTGGTATTTCATCTTTGTTTGTTTCAAACGAGATATGTTTTCCCATTTTTTTACACTCATGTGTCTGGGTATGATGATTAGTATTATTCGAATCAGTTTACTAATTAAGAACTCCCGAATCAGTGCAATTTAAGGCAAATAAAACTAGATGAACGTATTATACCTGTAATTCTAAATCGGCGACCCATCAAGTACAAAGGGACTATCAGTTAGTTCAAATATTTTTAACGCCATAGGTTAAATAGTAATCCGGATTCTTGAAGTCGATTGTAATTCTCCTCAGGTTCATCATGTGTTTGTCCCACTGTTAATTGAATGTAGACTCTTTATGATCTAAAATGTGCTCATTAGAATCAGAATTAGGAACCAAGACAGGAACAGGCTCATATGGTTCCTGGAATTGTATTTGATCAACATGTCGCTTGTATGCACTTAAACCACTGATATACAGACTTTCCAACTCCATCCTCTCCACTTCACATTCCCAAGTTACAAATAATGTGGGCTTATTCGGAACATATTTTTCACATTGACTAGGTGACTTTGTGATGAGGATAAACAACATTTGATGTGAGATCATCTGAGCTGTAGTTAGGTTTCAGTCTATTTAGAATTTGTACTTCACATTGACCAGGTTTTCCACCAGAGCCAAATACATTATGAGGACAAATAACATTTGATACGACATAATTAGGATTTGACACTTCCGAAATATTTTCCTCAAGTTTATCAGGAATGTCGGCGGAGAATAATGGATCACCTGAAAAGTCAGCATCTATCAACATTAAATCAGAATTTCGATCACGATCACATCCATTAGACATATTTTTCTCATTTCTATATGAAATTCCAAAGAAAATGTGTCAATCGTTAGGACAACCCATATCTGGTGGAATAACATGGAAATTTGAAAAGAAGTTGGTTGATTAGAAACTTTTGTCTCACAATGATTCTGAGCTTCGCTTGATACGCTTTATTCATCGTGCCGCTCCAATTATTTTCTGAATACGAGTCCTTCTAGCCAACTAAACAAACATCACATGAAGTATAAGCTTGTATTGGCTGGAGTTCATTTTCATATTTATTCACGGCTAACAAGGTTTCATTTGATTCTGAACTGAGATATGACTCTATACTACCCATGTCAACGATAGAGTCATGGAATGGATTCAAGAGAGGTATATAATCGCCCCAGAATATGGAAACTACCTTTCACGATTGTGGATAAAAGTAAACGACCATTGTATGCACTAAAACTAATAAAATCGGAACTACGGGGTTTGTTATCACCATTATAAAAGTGTAGGGTGGATTTACAGACCGACCTCATCTGACGAAAGACATGAAATACGTGAGTGAAATTTACCACAGAATAAGCATTTACCAAATCTGTGCTCAGCTGTGTAATCTGTCTTTCAATTATTTGTTACATCATTTTGCACATTTCCACGAGAATGAGAATAATTTTTAAACAAGCATGAGCTTGAGCAACCCTGAGAGTATAGGTCATCACTATGACTGAGTAAAGCATTAGACATTGTTGCTGACTAGAAGTCAAGCTCATTCACTGCCCAATAGTTAATACAAGCCGTAATATCTTATTGGAATAAACGTTTAGGTTTCTGAATTCATTATTTTCCCAAGTTCGGAATATCTATCTATGATAATTAGAAGTATTTGAATTGTAGTATGAACTAGTAATCCCAGGAATAACGCAATTTAATCAAGAAGTATCAGATGAACTCGAACGAATGTATTGTATTTGGAATTCAAAATTACAACAGTCATCAATACTAAGAAGTCATTGATTTATTTAAACATCGCATCCGCCACAGCTCGAATTGAAGTGTAAGTGTCTGTAATCGATTGTTTGTCTTTTTCTTAAGTTCATCCTACATCTGTCCGATGGTGTATTGAATGTACACTCTGTATTATCTAGAATGCACTCATTAGTATTAGAATTAACAACGGAAATTGGAACAGACTCACCTGGGTTCTAGAATTGTATACAATCAGCATGTCGGTTGTGTAGTGAAACCATTGATATTTAGAATTTGCATCATGGACTTTCCAACAATATCCTCCCCCACGAAATAATGTTGGGTCCTTGATTCGCAATGTTTTAGCCAATATGACGTTCCCAATTTGCATTATCTCAAATCTTACGCACCGACTACTGTATGTGAGTATTTGGGAATAAACACTGATATATAATTTGAGGTATTCCATCATGTGACTTTGACTTGAATAAAAATCATGATACATATTCTTTTTGTTATTCATATTAGAATACACAGATGGATATACATTGATATATGTAATTAACACACGTGATTCAATTAGGCTTGATTTACCTGCGAAACAATCGGATAGAAAACATTCATCTGCCTCATATTCATTAGGATAATCTTGAACTTGATTTGGATTCTCTGTCTGTGCAAACTTCACTTCTGGGCAAACTGGTTCTCTGGTTGCTTCGGAAAATTTTGCTATCCCCTCTGTATCATTATACCCCTGACTAGGGATTCTATTCAACATGCATTGTTCGTGAGAGTATCCAACATATGACACAATAACATCAGAAATATGACTAGAATTCAACTCATAAGAAACATATTTTTCACATTCATGATGAATATCATTAGAGATAAATTCATTATGAGGACCACTGACACTTGATATGATATCAGCATTCGATTCTTCTGAAATATTTTCCTCAAATTGATTAAGAGTTTCATTAGGTAATGGATCATCGGGGAATTCAACATCTACCATGACTGAATTTGGTTTTTGATCATGATTTAACTCATTTAACATTCTATTCTCAGAGTTGAAAGAAATTACATCAGAAGTATGTGAATTATTACGACAAACCATATCTGGTACAATAACATGAAAAATCTGATAAGTTGATTGGTTGAGAATTTTCGCCTCCCAATGACTCTGGGTTTCATTCAACTCTAGACTGTTATATAACGTTATACCTCTTCTAGATAAAGATAACTGATCATTAGAAGCATCCATCTTAGCATTACTTTCAGCGAAATGAACCATGGTATTACAAACTGACTGAATATGTCCAGTTATACCACATTTAAAGCATTTAGAATTACGAAATATACATGAATTACATGGGTGAAACTTGCCGCAGAACATGCATTTACTAAACTTGTGCTCATCATCATGGACTGTTTCACAACTCAATGAAGTATTATCTGAATAAATTTGATTACGCATCGAACTACGACGACTGTTTGAATAAGTGGAATTCCTGATGTTCTGACGAGTCATTTTATCGGATTTTCCTTTCTTACCGCATTCGGAATTTGTATACTTTACATGATCCAACAGAAGTTGCTTGAGAGTTGCATAGGGGAGTGAAATCGGTTTGTCTGGAAGTGCCAAAATCTTTATAAGGCTGTATGCTTCTTTCCCGATGAATGTAAGGAAATGGGCCACAATATTAAAATCCTCATCATCTTCCTTGGTCATAGCCCAGATTTCGAACCTTTCCATGTACTCCTCAAAAGCATTAAAATCTGAATTTATATTTAACCGTTCCATCACAGGCTCAGTCGCGACGCCAATATGATAATTAGAAGTATTTGAATTGTAGTATGAACTAGTAATCCCAGGAATAACGCAATTTAATCAAGAAGTATCAGATGAACTCGAACGAATGTATTGTATTTGGAATTCAAAATTACAACAGTCATCAATACTAAGAAGTCATTGATTTATTTAAACATCACACTATCCCAGCAATCAATCGACCACGGAGCTGCACATGAAGTTGATTATCAAAATTACATTCAGTGGCCTATTACTTCAATTCGAGGATAAATTCCCCAACCTTTTTGATATTCTGACAAATCATTTTATGGAATTTTATTCTCTCACAGCATTCGAAACCGGTGCACTTCACATGATTAAGTAGTAGTTCTTTTGGAGTTGCGTAGGGAGGTGAAATAAGCTTATCTGAGAATGCTTAGGATTTTAGCAAATTTAAGGTACCCTTCCCGACTAATGAGAGGAAATGAGCAACAATTTTATGACCACTGACATCCTTCCTGGTCATGCCCCATATTTCAAACCTTTCCATGTTATATTCGAAAGCCTCAGAATTTTATTGCATATCCAACGGTTCATTAACAGGCTCCATCGCGACGTAAATATAATTAGAAATATTCGGGTTATTTTATTAACTAGAGATTGCCGAAATTGTACAACTTACGGTAAGTAGAACAAGATGTTTTATGTTTTTTATTTTACGTTTTTATTTCGGGGATTTATTTACCACCACAATGTAATTCATACTAACCATTTGTTGAAATAGATAAGCTGAATGACCTGCTCAAACATTACCTTATGTGGATGCCCATACTCACTACATGAAATTTAAATTTGAGGATGAGAAAAAAACAGACCACAGTCTCTTCCCAACAGATTTTGAAGTTCGTGTCTTAGGCAGGTCAAAATATTCATCACTGAAGAAAGGTGTGCGTTCCTTGAATATTTTCGTTACAACTACTGGGAGTCGCGACGCGTGTGGTTAGTAACGTGATTCTGTTTTTCTTATTACAGGTCAGTAAATAGTAAGTTTATTGAAAGGGCAACAATCCCTAAGTAAACTGAATCTGCAGAACGATTGATAAAACTATTTCTCTCATAAGTTTTCACTTTTTGAACCTTCTTTTTCAAACTTGTAATTCGCGGCTGTGTATTTCTTGATAGTAGCGAGTGAGCTGCCCTTGCGATCCTTAACTGCCGAAATTGCCGCCGTAATCACGTTGATTACTGGCAGGTGACTAGCTGGCGTCTTGGGTTTCGATTGGGTTTCAGTTGGCTTTTTACCGTCGTTTTGTAGCGACCCAATCTCCCGATATTGAGGAAAATTTTATCATTTTGGGTAAATGTCAATCGTAAATTTTTGCGGGAGACTGTAATTTGTGGACGACCTTTGAACGAGTCTTAAGTGACCTTAAGAAATGCTAGTCAATCAGTAAACAGTATAGAGTAAAAATATGTTATACAAAACCAATGAATTAAAGTAAATACACTTCTTTTGCATGGTCTAAAAGCTTGTCAAGGTTAGAAAAATGTTCAAAGGTTCTAAAATCGTAATGCATAAGGTAGACAAACTCATCCGTATGGCTCCAGAATTCTTGGTCTCTGGAGCCATGATAATGTCACAAAAACTCTCTCAGCCTCGACCACATAGCTTCAGTATTGTTTGTATGTACTCCGGTCGTGTAAGGTTGTCATTTTTATTGCGCATATATCCATGTGCACCATTGGTTTGGAATCAGGGTTTTCCAACTCCCCTAGATGGACTTTTCGTGTCCACCAACCCAGTTAAAGCGCCAGACATTCGGTTTTCGTCCTCTCACTTTCGTGAACAACACCCTGGTGCGAGAAGGCAGTGAGTAGGACTTCCCTGACAGAGGCTATATACGCGTGGCCATATAGCCTCTGCTAGGCGCATATGTATCTGGCGCCCCTTTGTACCAATATGTATGTTTAAATAAATAATAAACAAATAAATACGCATATATCCCCACAACGCTCATACCTCTGAACAGCCGAAGCTTCAGTAACATCCGCGAATATTTTAGCCAATAATATTGGTGCTTTTATTATACAGTTTGCGGCGATGATTATAATTCGGCTTAGTCTCAATCTAGATCGAGCGAAAGTTTCTATTCTAGCAGACGTCTTTCTTCAATATATATCACATCGAAGGACAACTTCACGGTAGTTTGCATAAGGTAAGTAATTCTTTCGATCACCGCAATTACAAATAAAGGAACTTTTTAGTAGTCCCATTTATTGTTGCCGCTTAATTGTCACGTTTTCTCTAAAACCCACTGTGAGCATCAGGTACTGATATTGGCTCCGTGACCCTGAAATCCCTTAAACGCTTCTGATTGGCTCGTCCATAAATTATAGTCCCGCTATACACTAAAATCGGGAGGCGAGTGGATTAAACTAACTTCTTTGAGTTTTTATTCCAAAACTGTTCTAATCTGGGGCTTGTGTTACTGCTAAGTGTTGTCGATTGCTTTCTATCTTAACTATAAGTGCATTCTGTGCGTCTATTGGTTTTTAGACCCATCTTTTTAGCCCTCCTCACACGCCACTCTGTATGCTCCTTTATTACACAGTAACTTCTGGGTAGAAGCGAACCGCGACATCTACTGCTCTTTTCTTTGAGACCAGTAGAATAAACAGTGACAATTCTAGGAAGCTTTGTAGGACTTCCTTTTAAATGTTAAGTTCATCTTGGTGACACTTTTTAATTCATCTGAATTTCGCCTAGTACAAGTCTATTATGCAATCTTAACATCTATCCTAGTGAGATGTAAAATTCGACTAACCGATGCGCCAATTCGTCAAGTTATGGCACTAAGAGCAATCACAATTGTTATAGAATGTGATGATTTTGAATAAAAATGCCTTTCAAGATTTATTCAGTGAGATATCAAAATATAGTTAGAGAATATTGACGATATAGGATTTAAACTTCATTTTACTTTTGGTCGCTCTCATTCATATCTTTTCATATCTTCTTTTTTACCACTATGGGTGTCAGAATTCGGTAGTTGTGACCATATACCATGGTAAGCAGACTAAGAAGCGTGAGATCAGTCTGGGTTGCCAAAGTTTCTAAATTGTTAACAAACTGTTAGGTTGTCGAATTCTTTCGTTGTATACCAAGCCTTGAGTAATACTTTATACTTGGTTATTGAAAACCTGTAGGGTATTAACAATAATTTGCATATCTGTGTAGTATTATTATTCACCTAAAGTTTATTTATTGCACAGATCTGTGTGTGGTTTCTGAGTTGCATTTTTATGTTTCCCAGCAGTTGAGTTGATAACTTATGATCTGATCACAAAACACATTTTGCATATGTTGGTACTACGTGACTAAAGACTATCAGGAGGAATTTCTGAGCCCAGGTCTCTTTCTAGTTTGAACTTATCGACGGGGACTAAAATTCTGGGAGACTCTGAGTGACATGGCTCAGAATCGATCACAATGGCGTAGGTGTATACACTCTTTATCTTCCCTTAAATCTTGAGATTAAAATTGCTTCATAACTTTTTTCCTTCCTATACTATATCCTTATATACAATCTTTCTTTATATAATACCACCACTAAATTAACTACTTCTATGAATCCGGTGTTCATCTTGTTGTGCTAACGAGGTATGGCAACTTGGACCTACGTTGTAGCTGACTGACTGACTGAAAATTCTGAGAAAAATATTCTTCTCGTGATCTGAACCCTTAGTCAGCCTGTGCCAGTTGGAAACATTACCTACAAGCTATTCACTTCTCTGATAGCCTCCCCACAGGACTAAGATATTTACAATTGTCAATTTTGAGGGTCAATCACTGTCGTGTTTGTTTAGTTCTTGATAGTGATCGACAAAATTCGATCATTAATGTACTTTTGTTGGCAGTCGAGACAAACCTTGGCAGTAGTTGTAAATATTATTTATCGACAATAATGTTGAGAATTAGTCTTCAGCTTTGATGCATTTATTAACGTAATCTAAGGTAATCGCATAGTAACAATTCGCTTTCTATCTTACTGGATAAACAAGGATGTCCCAAAAGTTACATAATGGTTAATTACTGACTTCCATAAAAGGTAAGTTTACCATATTATGTCTCACTATCAATCGCTTTTACTCCTCTCATAGATGTACTCGTTCATCATATACTTTATTGATGTTTTTCGGTATTTTAGTCTCAGCAAGTAACTCTTGCTCTTTCATCTTTTGTGTTGATTTCCGATACTTAGTTTGTGTTTTTTTAGTGCTGTATACAATAGTGGTCAATTGACGAACTTACACGATGATTTCTCGTCTTGGGATATGTCAGTCAGCCATTACAAGGTGTCTAAGACAGCATGCCTCGGCGTATCACAAAAATGTCATAGATCATTATGAGAACCCTCGTAATGTAGGCTCATTCGATAAGAAAGACACGTCTGTTGGTACTGGTTTGGTTGGTGCACCGGCCTGCGGAGATGTCATGAAGCTTCAAATAAAGGTAAAGTATCCATTCTATGAAAAAACTATTTTTAAGTATGTATTTATATGTTATTGCATGAACCATGATATGGTACTTACATGTCTTTCTGTGTTCTGTAGATGTGGTTTTTCCTAAATCACAACTGAGGTAATTTTATCAGAAATAATCGTCCAGCATTCACCAGTTTTAGGTATTTGTTAAGTCAGTCAGTCGGTCACAACGTAGAACTTCTTACGTACGTACATCAGTTCGAGTTGCCATACCACATTAGCACATAGAAGCAGTTGTCGATTCAAATCCCATAGTGGTAGAAGTAGTAAGAGTATAAGCATTAATGTGAAAGATTAGGGTTTGAAGATGTTATTGAAGGAGTATAATCCAGCGAAATAAATTTGGAAAAAGAAAAAAGATAGGGACATGAAGAACTCAGAATATTAGAATTTGGCAGAACACAAAGAGTGTATGCACCTTCGCCATTGTAAACGATTTGGAGCCATGGAAAAGGTGCATCCACTCTGTGTTCTCTCAAATTTTAATCTTCTGAATTCTTCATGTTCCTACCTTTATTCTCTTTCCAAATTTATTTGTTAAGTAGCTTTGATTTTATGATGATGATAATGATCACGTACAAATTTATACTTCGAACAAAACTTACTACATAAGTATGACTTGCGTCATCGAGATGTTGTATGTTTTTTGATGTAGTGAGGAATAGGTTTTCAGAGTAATTGTCTCCATTGGTATCCTTTTTAAATAATTTATAATTTTACCAATCTCAAGATCACTGATCCTTTTATCAGACTTTGTAAGAACAGAAGTAGAAATATGTAAAAGGTAGCAGGTTGACTATTGAATGAAGATAAGGATTCATTTGCATTTTAGCGTTAGTTTTTGTAAACTTGTATGAAGTTAATTATTAGCAACGAAGGGGAGGTACTGTCATAGATCTACTTTTCAAATTTAAATCGTCTGGACAATCTCGAACCTCGAAATTTTTAATTTATTAACTATTTACTATGTTTCCGTAAGCCCCCAAATGCCCTGGTACGGCCGAGAGTGGGGAGAGTCCGCTCTCCTTCTTGAAATGCTCTCACATGGCCACGCGTATATAGCCTCTGTCAGGGAAGTCCTACTCACTGCCTTCTCGCACCAGGGTGTTGTTCACGAAAGTGAGAGGACGAAAATCGAATGTCTGGCGCTTTAACCGGGTTGGTGGACACGAAAAGTCCATCTAGGGGAGTTGGAAAACCTTGATTCCAAACCAATGGTGAACATGGGCTCCAGTATCCTAAGAGGACAAATGGCTTATAAATCAATCGTTGGTCACCGGCTACCATGAGACTGCATCTCCTCACGATGCTCCACTGCCTTGTGGATGAGATCTTTATGTCAAAGTCTCCGGGTTTTGCCCCCTAAGAAAACCACCTGTTTCAGTTTGGGCACCTGATTAGTATCACATCCCTCACACAAATCAAATGAAATTTGTGTGACGCATATGTATCTGATGCCCCTTTGTACCAATATTTGTGTTTGAATAAAATAAAATAGAAATGTTTCCGTAAAATATATATATTTATTTTTAAACAGTATTGAGATGCCAGGTATTTTGACTATTCTCTCTTTTAATTGCTTGTTTTCACATGTAAAAAATCTGTTTTTGGTGCATTTATTTTGATTTCAGGTAGATGAAAATGGGAAAATAGTAGATGCGAAATTTAAAACATTTGGTTGTGGTTCCGCAATTGCATCTAGTTCACTGGCAACTGAATGGGTTAAAGGTAAAACAATTGATGAAGCTGCAAAAATAAAAAATAGTGATATTGCCAAAGAACTAAAACTTCCACCTGTCAAATTGCACTGTTCTAGTAAGTTAGTACTAATTAATTTTACGTTCAATTATTTGTTAACTTATTCCATATGTAGCGTTTCTTTACAGAACATAGAAATAGGTAACACAAACTAAGTTAATTTTATAAATGCAACTACTTAAATTGTTAACTCAAATCACTATAGCTTGTGGTATGTATAAAAGACGAGGTCGAAGTAAACGTTGCATCACTTTGGGTTTATCATAACAATACCTGTTCTTCGGAGTTAAATTTCTATCGCTTCATCCTAAGAATATTCAAAAATGGTACATCATTGTAAAATTATCCAAAAATGTTTCTATTGTTCAAGGCTAATTAAATTTCAAGGTTGATGAAGTCTTCATTACTCACTAAAGTCGAGTTCCTTAAATCTTCATCAACTCAGGTAGCTTGAATTTATTAAAAAGATGTCTATTCGCCGACTGTTTCGACGCGTAATGTTGACCAGGATATGAGTAGCTTGAGAGGATGGAAAACTGACAAACCAAAACTTGTCATCAGTTTATGAAACAGTTGATTGCCTATTTGACCAGCCCCCAAATGCCCTGGTACGGCCGAGAGTGGGGAGAGTCCGCGTATGAATCAATCGCTGGTTACCGGCTACCATGAGACTGCATCTCCTCACGATGCTCCACTGCCTTGTGGATCAGACCTTCAGGTCAAAGGCTCGGGGTGTGGCCTCCTAAGAAAACCACCTGCTTTAGTTTGGGCATCTGGGCAGTATGACAGCCCTCACACAAATCAAATGAGATTTGTGAGGCCCATATATATCTCGTGCTTATTTTTACCAATATTTATGTGTTGAAATATAAATATAAAATAAATAACCAGTGTAGGGCAGCTGTAGACCTATTGATTAAGTTTTATGAGGTAATCTTAAGCTATAGTTCAAGTTGACATGGTTCAAAATCGATCTCAGTAGTCCATATATATTGATGTCTACACATTTTTGCTTCGCGATATTTTCAAAATTTTCTTTGGTTTAACCCTTTTCTGGTTCAAGTTTCTTCTCTCTTATTTTTCTGTTTGATATTTAGTGCTTGCTGAAGATGCTATCCAGGCTGCTATTAAAGATTATAAGAAAAAGTCTACTTGATTATTACTTTATAAGCACAAATCAATCCCAATCATATTCGTCGTCATAATTTCTCATTTCACTTAGATAGACATTATTGTAAATCATAAACACTATATTGAAAGTCATTTTTTTATCTAACAAATTTAACCATAGATACAGAGATCCTCTCATAATAATAAAGTTTATTTCCATCTACCAAAGAAGTGTTCTTGTTAATAAATTTCATGTTAGACTGTCTGTAGTTGTTTGTTTATTTTTCATATTTTAGTGTCTTATATACAGCTCTATAGTATTACTATATTATGTTTTTGTAGTGTTAGGGTCATCTATCAATAGAGCATATTGAAAAATTTCGGAAAAGCCTTTATACTGTATTTGCATGCAGTGGACGAAATATTGCTTAGTAATCTCTAAAACATTCTAGTTTACCCGGGGATTGTTTTTGACGTTGGTCTTCAATGTTAGTTTGTTTATAAATTTAGTAGAGATTTTGACTAAACTGGTACTGGAAAATTTACCTTTAAGATTGAAAAGCAATAAATGTGTTTCAATTTAAGAACTTACCATAGAAATAATATTAGGTGATCCCAAAATACAGGAGCTTTTAGTGGCCGGAGGTTATCATTTATACTTCTACTAGATTGTTATATTTTCCCTTTGTAAATTTGCCTACTAATAAGTAATCAATTTAAAAAGCACTTAAAAAAAGTATCATCATAATACAAATAGAATCTTAGATTTTACTATTTGTAGGTGCATTTTATCTCATATCGTCCCTGAATCACTGGGATGCAGTCATGCGAACCCTTAGGACCAATTTTTTTTATTTCGATAAATTATAAATGAAAATGAAAGTAATGTCAATCATTCACTAGTTCATCGAAGCTAGAACACTTCAGTTTTTTTAGGCAGGGGATTTAAATATTCACGCCAAATGAACCAACGTTTATATTTTATAGTAACACTAAGTTACTTATTAATAGCATTGCTCACTACAAAATTATTAAGGTAGAAGGTTCGCATAGTTTTGCAATTCGAAGTTAGCTTCCATCACTAACTGATGTCAGTTAGAGAATCACTTAGAACACAGGGTACATTAAGTAGCTGCCTTATTCTAGCTTACTGTTTACCAGCAATACGCACCTATAACTAGACCAGGGCTATAATCCAGGGTACTTAAGTTCTCACTTCGGCAGGGAATTTCAAATTCCTGATGATAAATCCTGACTGTCGTACAATATCACTAATCAACTGGAATTATAATTGTGGACTGACTGGCTCACAAGTACTGTGCTCTCTTCTCTCTCTCTCTCTCTCTCCTAAATCTTGTCCTTGGAAGGATATGGTTTGTTTGGTTCTGAAGATTCTCAGACTAGAATTAAACGGTTGTTCATTTCTTTCTGACCGATGGTTCAGTGGTTAAGGAGTTTCGAAGCCCGTCTTGCTTTTGGTTTGGACAGCTGGTTATTATCACTAGCCAGATATACGAAACTGTACCTGGCAAATGAATCACTTAGTTACTGCAAAATTATCAAGTAAACCAAATACATAACCTCCTAAATATGTTCAATACCTTGTAATGTCCTTTATGGTTTTATTTAAATACTTTTATTCATCTTTTGAAATTGATCTTTTAAAGAGTAATTGGAAACAAAATTTTGTTGCATTAGATTCATTTTGTTGTTCATATGACCTATTTATATCATAAACTAAAGTAAGTAACATTTTTGGCTGAACTGCACAGGACGTTTATTATTTTACAGGATTATTGAAGTTTTTATCATCATTCACCTCTACTATTCTTCATTTTTCTTTAATGTTAGTTCATAATCTACGAATTTACTTTTAAACGATACGACTTTCAAAACCCAATTTTATCTGAATACTAAATTTCCTCTCCACAATTTGTTCGAGGCAAGTTATTTATAAATTGAAACCTATGTCTTCTAGTTTTCTCCATCTTAGTTTCCTGTTTTATAGTTCTGTGTTCGTTTTTCATTGATCCAATCGACAAAAACATGGTTTTTACCGATTAAAATGAAAATGTTGTAGGTGTAAGTATACGTAAAGGGAGAGTTAAAGGTTGCTAATCTGTGGATATTTACAATTTTAGGTTTTTGAACTATTTTTTCAAATCTTGTATTGTATTTATTTATTTAAACACTTAAATATTGGTACTAAATGGCACCAACATATCTATGCACCACACTAAATTTGTGTGAGGGCTGGAATGCTAGCCAGGCGTCCAAACCGAAACAGGTGGTTTTCTTGGGAGTCCACCCCAGAAGCCTGATCTAGAGCCTTAATCGACGAGGTAGTGGAGCAACGTTAGCCGATGCGATCCCATGGAAGAAGATGGTGACAAGGAATAGATTCATATCCTATTTGATCCCTCAGGATCTTGTAGCTTATGTAGAGCATTGATTTGAAACCAGGGTTTTCCAACTCTCCTTGGTGATTGTGCCGTACCCACCAACCTGGTTCAATCACTGAACGTTTTCTTTTTGTCCTCTAAATTTCGTAAAAACACCTGTGCCTTGAGAAATGAGTGAGTAGAACCACCTTGGTAGTGGATATATATGCTTATCTATATAAAACCACCCTCTCCATACTAGGGCGTTTTGGGGTCCAAATCTTTTAGCGGTATTCATGTTTGAGAACTAACCCAGTTAATCTAATCTTAAATCATCAACGCAACTCTTATTGTTCTTAGATGTTTCGATAGTATCTGAAATATGAATGGAACAATAGTTTCAATCATCTACTGGAATTTAAAAAACTCCCTACAAAATACTACTTTCTAGTAATACTGGTTAATTAATATTGTAAGGTTTTGAACAAAATAACTCAATTAAACTGCTCTTTTTCATTTCTGCTTTTTATTTTGCAAAAATCTACAATTATATTGTAATTATACGTATACTGATGATATTATGTTGATTCACTCAGTCAGTCAGCTGCAACGTAGGACCAGGCACATATATGCTTCGGTCCAAGTTGCCATACCTAGTTAGCACGACAGGATGGACACCGGATTCATAGGAGTAGTTAATTTACTGGTGGTAATATATAAAAAAAAGGTTGCATAAAAGGATATAGTATAGGAAAAAAGACAAATATGAAGCAATTTTAATCTCAAGATTTAAGGAAAGATAAAGAGTGAATACACCTGCACCATTGTGATTGATTCTCAGTCATGTCACACAGAGTCTCAAAACATTGGTTACGATAGTCACGCGGACCCCAACCAGGTAGTCTGCATCTGCCAACACGGCTTAGACTAGAAGTTAGTGACTTCAAGCACTGATGCCACGTTTTGGTTTGGCCGCCCCTAACTCTCTTCCAACCATCCTCAATACTAGTCAGCATAGCGCGTCGTGGTAATCGGTGTTGAGGCATACGTAACACGTGGCCTGACCATCTCAGTCGATGAAGATTCATGACCTCATCAATTGATTTACCATCGTTCCCTAATACCCTGCGTCTGACCTCACTATTACTTACCCGGTGATTTCAGCAGATGCGAGCAATATTTCTAAGGCATCTGTGGTCAAATACTAGTAACCTACGAGTATCTTCTACTCTTAATGGCCATGTTTCACAACCGTAAAGTAGAACAGAGCGAACTGCTGCGCGGTATACTCGTCCCTTAATTGATAGACGGATATCTCATCATCACCATAGGTGACGTAAGCCGAACGAGCTTTTTGAATCCGTGCTGAGATTTCGTCAGACACCAACCCATTAGGGCTGATCAGACTTCCAAGATAAGTGAAGTTGTCGACGCGTTCGACTACTTCACTCCCTATCCTTAGTTCAGGTGTTGACAACACAACACCTCTAACATCTTTATCTTGAGTTATATATATTCTCTATAATCTGGAAATCACATATTTGTATCTATAATCTAAATACTGATGATTTATTTACTGATGTCATTAATCTCGTAAGAATCTTAAAATAGACCAAAACTATTTTATCTTTCATATCATTAGTGAAGTGTCAGCAACAAAAGAGTTTACCATAAAGTAAAAAAAAAGATAATTCAAGTTAAAATATTTTGGAAATTTGATAAAGAGATTAATGATGCTTATATTTAAGAGATTACATAATATCATATATTGAAATACAATCCTCAAGTATATATAGTCAATATTTGAAATAGATTAGTTACAAAAAGTCTCAATAGTGAAAATGAGACTATTTTGTATAATGTTAAGTATAATTTTTTTTATTATGATTAATAATGATTCCAATCGACATCCAATTTTAGTTGTAAATATCCATTATTCAATGTTAGTTTTCATTATGAACTGGAATTAGTTAAATAAACATGAAAACTTAAGGGAGAGATTAGTTAAGTTTTAATAGCCCCCAAATGCCCTGGTCCAGTCGAGAGTGGAGAGAGTCCGCTCTCCTTCTTGAAATGCTCTCACATGGCCACACGTATATAGCCTCTACCAAATAAGACCTACTCATTGCCTTCTCGTCGCATTACTACTGTTTACGAAATTGAGAGGACGAAAAGCGAATATCCGGTGCTTTAACCGGGTTGGTGGACACGAAAAGTCCATCTAAGGGAGTTGGAAAATTTTGATTCCAAATCAATGGTGCACATGGGCTCCAGTATCCTGAGGGAACAAATGGCGTATGAATCAATCGTTGGTCACCGGCTACCATGAGACTGCATCTCCTTACGATGCTCCACTGCCTTGTGGGTCAGATCTTTAGGTCAAAGTCTCCGAGTGTGGCCCCCTGAAAAAACCACCTGTTTCGGTTTGGGCACCTGGACAGTATCACAACCCTAACACAAATCGAATGAAATTTGTGTGGCGCATATGTATTTGGTGCTCCCTTGTACAAATATTTGTGTTTAAATAAAATAAAATATTGTGATAGAAAAGTTAAGCATAAAAGGTGAACTAAAGTAATTCATACTGGGTAAAAAAAGTGTCACATCCCATTTACCACAGTCATCAAGAACATTAAAGAAATTTAAAATGTAGAAGAGTATTTCC